CATTCTTAGGAAACAGTGTTCAAAATAAGAGAGCAATTGAGATAATCCTCTCCTTTTCACTTTTATCTTCAACTTTTATGCAGATCTTTTAAAACTTGGTGGGTTTTAGGATGTAAAACAAATCTCCCACCCATACCATTCCCCATCTCAGACTACATTAACCGTGCCCGACTGGCACGGGCGAATGATTGGCTCATTACTCACGTGTTACTCACGTGGAATCCGAGTGCATTCTTTACTTATTGTGTTTTTCGTTCGTTGCGAAATGAGGAGACTGAGATATTTTACAAACTTAGTGTCTATGTGGCATGCATACATTTGTCAACGTTTTGGTACGATGCCAGTAGTTGTAGCGAGAGCGGAAGGGAGGTCGTCGCATACTCGTCACTTGTCAAGCTAAATTGCCGTCTAGTGTTGTTTCTAATGGCACTAGACTTCGTAGCAGGATGTCTTGGAGGTTTGATCGATCATGTAGCTTGAATGTATGTTTAGATTGTTAACTCACCACAGGGGATATAAACATAATGGTGTAAATTGTAACATGCGGTGTTTTTTTCTTCAGGATTGTCTGGTATAGTAGTGGGGCATCCTTTCGATACCGTCAAGGTAAGTTATACTTCCATTTCAAGGAGATAGCGATTAAAATTCCATGTTCGTGATCAGACAACTTTCCGCTACGGACAAAGGCACGAGCTTGTAAGTTGTATTCCGCGTTTACCGGTGTCTTTAGGTCATTTGATCTTCAAAATGACACCAATTTACTGAGTTGTTGTTATTTTCTGTTAGGTTCGCCTTCAGACTCAAGTAACCAAGCGATACACAGGGACGTTCAATTGTTTTACTCAGATAATAAAACATGAAACGGTGAGGTGACGCCAAACAACAGACATTTCAAAATATTGTAGACAGAACGACATAATAGTTGTCTGATATCTTGTGTTGTTATATTGGGTAGCCCTACATGCCATTGAGTTTTGTATTTTTGCTAAAGAGAGCAACATGAATGAAGAAGCTGACTTGTCTTCGGACCTAAAATTGTTTCTAGTGATTAAACTTTGATTAACATTCAATTTCTGCAAATCAAGCAGACAGGTAGTTTGTAGGGCGTGAAACTACCGGATGCCTTGCCTGATTGCTGGTGCCTTAATGTTTTTTTTTTTTTTAGAGGTATTCCTACAGGTCAATAAGTTTTGAGACTTGGCAAATTGTCAGAAGCTTTCCACCAAAGGGGCACTATCCAGGTCAGGGTGATTTTGCTGCAATTTTAGGCCAAAACTTTGCTAAAATTATGACTGAGTACTGCCACTTGCACACAAAATACTCCCAGAACGCCGAAATAAAGATATGAAGTGAGTTATTGATGGGAGAGCTAACTGTAATTGTTTTTATTGATTTTTCGTCAACATTCCTATTCCAACAGAGTTTGAAACAGTTAGCCAACATTTCCAAAATACCAAAAGTTTTCAAGTCAAATCACTATATTTGGAACCTCTTGTAACTGAGCACCTCTCATAAGCGACCGCAACCACTTCTAGAGCTAAAAGTTTGAAATTTTCTTTTGCTTTTAACCTCCTGTAAGTGACCACCTGACAAATAATAAAGGGAAAATTGGATAATAAGTTGTAATAACATTATTACATTTCCTGGATAGTACACTATGGAAAATTCTCTATGAAAAGTAACAGATTTTTTTCAGAATTGATTTTTCACTTGAATAAAACATTTAAAACAGTCTCTGCAGCTATCTTATACCAATAAGGCAAAATTTTGAACCAATATAGTGTAAGCCATTGTAAGCGACGACCTCCTGTAGGCTCACGGGAAGTTCGACTGTAGTTCGGTCATAATTATTTTTGAAGCATGAGAAGTTTTCAGATTCTCCTTCGAGGGTGTAAACGAGATTTTGTAAGATGTTATTTTGCATTCTTTCAGTTTTCTATAGCACATAACATAGTGCCAAAATAAGATTAAAAAAAAAGGAAACAAACTGACACAGAGAGATTTTGTAAAAACACCTTGTCTTTCTGTAATCCCA